TATATATGAACATCCTCAAATGTTTTACCATGCTTTTCCCATATTATTTTGAATGTCAAGGATTCCATAAATACACCACGTCTTTAAACATTTTATGCAAGATTCGTGAAATTACAGCACAACGAATTGTGCCTGCAATCCACTGAAGTCCTGCCAAGCAGCAGACATAAACTGACATGATTAGCTCTTCACTCTGATGCAGGCAGTGTCACCTTAGCAAGACAAATGAGTTTTGCTGGATCCCTCATGCTATTATTGGTATTGAGAGACCAATTTAATGTAATATACCTGTTTAAAACACTTAATGCATGAATAAGAGTTCCAATCAGTAAATTTTAATAAGGAAGTGATATAATCTGCACGTGTCCTTGAACTTTTCCTACAACAAAGAGCTTTCTCAATGAGACTTCCTCCGAGGGAGTGCATGTTCATACTCGCCTGCACCTGACTGAGACATGGGGAGCCTCCCATAAACCCACAGAGGCATGTAGCTGATTGCCCCTCCTACACACTACCACAAAGGCAACCACTAACCCAAAAAGCCTGCAGTTACACTTAAAACATCCGTCTGGTTCCTCCCTGTGCGTTTGACCAGGGGGAGAGCACATTACTGTCTGCAAAGGGAGTTATAAAATGCTCCTTGCATTGTAAAGCCCTCAAGTGCACAATGGTTTGCTTTTACAGGGCAAGTACACATATTTGGAGAGCACACTGCTGAAGTCAGAGTCTGAATATAACTACAGCTGCTACAGTGTGGGAGTGGAGCCGACTGCAGTTGGTGTGGTTATCGAGTGCAGAGCTGGGGAAAAATCTCCAACTGATTTCCTTGCGAGCAGATGACACTGCGGTGTAGCCTGGATAGCATCCTCTGTGTTTGCAGATGGAAAAAAAGCTTGGGGTATAAATAACAGCTCTTTGGCACCGTGTTGTTTTTTTCTGCAATTTCCAGAGAGCAGATATCTCTCCATGACACAAATGTCCATGCTGACAGCTGTGTCTGATGAACACAAAATGCCACGCCAAAGTCTGAAAAAGCTTTCCTGAGTGACAGTGATTTAAAAAATATGCTTATTTGCTTTTTAGCGGAGGGTTAGATTAGAGGATTGACACCACTTCTGTGTCTGTGTGGTGAATATGAAGCCACAGCTAGCAGGTAGTTAGATTAGCTTAGCATAAAGACTGGAAATGGGGGGAAACAGCTAGCCTGGCTCTGTCGACACGCAACAAAATTCACCTACCAGCACCTGTAAAACTTGGTAGTTAACATGTTATATCTTCTTTGTTCAAGCCAGTGGTACTCAACCAGGGGTTCAAGGACCCCCAGGGGTGCACAGAAAAATGACACACTATTATAGGTGTGAGCCCAATGTGAGTATGAGTCATTAGAGTGACTTTTCTTATTTCATTTCCTCCAGTTATCTCCTCAACTATAGAATTCTGGTTTTAATCATATTGACAACTATAATCCTTTCATATGATGGTATCTGAAGTGAAATCTTACCAAAGGGGTGTCTAATACGTATCAGTTTAGGGGTTCTTGACACAAAAAAGGTGTAAACTGAATCACAATGTTTGTTTTCAGTAAGTTCCAGGTAGAAAACCCCCATCACATACATAAAATGAAACAATAAGCATACACTGCCTCAGTTGGTTAGTTTGTAGCCACCTAGAAAAAGCAATGTCAGTTTAAGTGTTCGCTGTATTCAGATTACTTTTACAGCTTTACCTTGCAGTCAGAGTTTTCCAATGGAAAACTGAAGTCGCTAGTTGGTCTTTCACTGCGTCCATCAGTGTGTACCTAATATAAGCAGAGAAAATATACCTAATATAGCACACATTTAAACTGATATTTATTTTTTTAGGTGGCAAAAATATATTTTGCTGCAAGCTATGTCCACAGCAGTAGATTTGGTTCATCAAAGATGATAGCAAAGCAGCACCGTACATAAAATGAGCACAGCAGAAATGTCAGATACATCGGACAGCTGTGTTTAACTGTATATCTTAAAGATTACAGCTAAAAATGACAAGAGCAATAAACAAGCTTGCTAATGTCACATATCTCTGCAATCCAAGTGACTGTTGGTGCCTCACAGTGATTCGGTCTATACAAAAACTAAAACGTTTTGCAGTTGCCAGGCAACCAGCAGGAAGTTACTGTGCCATGTCAAAAGTAGTCCTTTTCTTAAGTGGGATTTATAGTTGTGTGCAGACCCTACGCGCGTAGCCTACGCCGTTGTGAGCATTTATATGTGTTCAGTGGTGTGTCTGTGTCCCTCTGCAGTTACACCTCCAAAACACTAGTCAGTGGCGAAGGTTTCTGTTAAGTGCTGTAAAGTTTAGTTGATTCAAAACACACAATAAACATGGCTTAATAGAGCCAATTTCAAACACAAGTACACAAATTGGCTTCACTATAACTCGCAGCATTCACAGACAAACACTTATGTTAATCTGGACACATTTTCCCCAAAAATACAACATGCTAATGTTATTAGCACAAGCCTATGGCATTTTACATTGTATAAATTAGTCTAGCAACTAGTGATCTTTCCCTCTTCTCATATAAAACCAGGGACAACAGCAACATTTAACAAAGGTAACGGCACACAGTTTGTCTCCATTACAACTCACAACATTCACCGACAAAACAACTGTCATACCAAACACGTTTTCCAGACAAATACAAAATACTAATGTTATTAGCGCCAGCATATGGCATTTTACATTGTATAAATTAGCCTAGCAGCGGATATTTCCTCTGCTTATATGGAGCCAGGATAAAATGCTATTTTGTGGAGGCTTTACTGTCATCACATTTTATTGTATCTTAACTGTGACATAAAAGTAAATAAAAGCTTTATTTACACTGAGGGAAATGGTTTCAGTATACATGAACAGACAGGAGGTCTGTGTCGCCACAATGCATAGTTACAATTCTGGGGAGGTGCACGTCAGGCTATGCCGAAGGTTGCAGCGTCAGTTCAATGCAGAAGTATAAATTCCCTTATTCAGTTATTTAGTAATTTATTTATATGTTTCAGATTAAACTTGATATAACTTGTTAATGAGTGAGCTTGTAGAGGCACTGGTATGCTAATTTTGTTTCAGTTGCATAGAGCAAAGCTCAGTGTTTCCCCCCGTTTCCAGTCTTTAGGCTAAACTTAGCTTAGCTAAGCTAACCGACAGCTAGCTCTGCCTCACATTTGAAACTAAAATAACTTTTTGGCCATCTGGGGCTGTGCATCATATCACAACATTAGCTTATCATCACCTTTTACAGTGATGTAACCGCCTAATGAATGTAAGTTCAATACTTGGTCTTTTATAGCTCTGTTTTGGTCTCCAACAACTCCTGAGGGAAATTCTCTTTAGCTGCTAAGTGTTCCACTGTGTTCACCAGCTAGTCTCTAACTGTGGTGCTGTGCAGGTAGTGTCAGTGGGTTTATGGAGCTTGTTCTGACTGCTGCAGCCAAAAATGACGGTAGGAAAGCAGTGCGAGCGAAGCTAAACGGTAAAGTTGTGGGCTGGAAAGCTAAACAATGAGCTGAAACTATAAAGCTCTGTAAAGTCCAGTGAAGCGAAAGACACATAAATGTCTATAGGTTCAGCCACTTTTCTTAGACTTTTCACTGAGTCATTTGATACAGTTCCATTATGAAAACACTGATTATAGCTGCTTTTAGTATGAGAGTGATATTAATCCTGTCATCTAAATTTACGCTTGAATGCAAAATAAAAACATTTTTCTCAAAATGTGAAACTTTAAAACAACAGAAAAGAGGAGTCAGAAAAGTGTTGTATCCACTGTTCTGACAATCTGACATCTGATAACGGCTGATGACTGATGTGTCCATTTGTCATTCAGGTTATACACCATCCCTGCCTCATGCCCAGTGAGTCACATTGCTCACATACAGTCACACTCCACCCCTCTGTCTGCCCTCTAGCAGTTGGCACAGTGGTGTCATCTCAAGCTCTCAGCTGTTACTGTGGCGCAGCACTGACTGGACCAGCAGCTGTCGAAGACTGCAGCAACACTTACTTCTATATCATCTCCAGATTAGAGCATTGGGAAATCAGGGTGAGGATGAAACACGTGGCTTTTCAAGTGTTTTGGCATTCCCTTACATCACCACTATGGATAAACAGAGTATATGATTCATCTTCTAAAATATCTCTTACATCTGGTTGGCCTAGTTAAATAAAATTCTAGATAGAATTATAGATTAAATGGTTGCAAACATTTCGCTTTAATCCTTTTTTTTTCTCTCAACAATATGATCTAAAGAAATCAAAGACCCACACATAACCCATGTGCAAAGCATTCTGACACAGATAATCACAGTCCATGTGTGTGGAGAAATGTACATATCTGCTGTGTTTCTTGAAAGCTTCATCAAGGAAGCCAGACTCTGGAGTCACTGTAAAAGAAGGACTGCTTTAACAAATTCCGTGGATTGTAGAAACCTGGAAAGAAGGAGAGAAAGATTTACTTAATGCTTTCATATGTACAGTCACATAAACAACTAAAATACTCAGATTAAGACTACATGTCTTTCTCCTGGGTGTCTACAGGTATCATACATTTAAACTTAATGCTTTTTAGCACATATAAGGATCATTTTTAACCAAAGACTGATTTTCAGACCTTTTTCTTATGAGCACTGCAGGTAAATAGCCTATAAAGTTAAGTAGTATAAATGTAGTCCTGTGCAGAGGTAGGTTAAGGTTAGGTTAATCTACATTTTGCCAACAAGTAAGTAGAAGTATAAAGTAAAAAGACAGCATTAGGTTCAGGTTCTAAAAACCCTCAGACACCTTGTTCTTCTGTAGCCAACCAAAGTACTGTCAGACAAATGGACAACGTGAGGTATTCCCACCCAAAAAAAAACACTTGCATGATTTCTAACTTTTTCTGAAACTTTGAATCAAGTTGAAGTTTATATAACAGAGCAGCGACCAGCTGCAGAGGAGATACCTCTCTCTCTTGTCTCAGTTGATAAGAGAGAGAGATTAATGTTCATTCAGCCAGAGCTGTGGTCTCTCACTAAAATCCCAAAAGTCCAGGAGGGGTATTCCCTGTGTAAATGTGTCACAGCTTGATGCTGCTGGAGAATTTACACATTCGGCTCCAGGCCAAAAAACTCTACGCTACTTGTGTTTCTCTACCTCTCAAGGTCAATTATTGGGTTCATATATGGATGTATTGCATATATATATATATATATATTTTTTTTTAGGATAAGCACAGCTATTTAAAAGCTGAGAAACGTGATGCAGATAGATTTATGAAGGATACATATGTAGAATTCAGGTTACCCAAGAGAAATCCAGTTCTGAAGGTGTCAAATGTAAAAGCTCATTACAGTCGGTTAGACAACAAACCTCAGGACAGCAGATGAAGGCATGGCACATCATCATAAAGCAATAAACAACACAGGGGAGACTACAACTACAAAACCTTGTATAAAGTAACTCTATGCAGCTTTTACTCTAGTCAACCCTCACCACCTCTCTGACTTTATTGGTGTCAAAGGGCAAAAAATCCTATTGATCCTAATTGATTTTCCTAAAGAATATTGTTTTTGATAAATATTATTTGTTAAATTTTATTTACTGAGTTGCCATGTTTTGTAAGATAATGTGCAATGGTTATAATGCACTGTGCCACTAATTTCAGCAGCTGTTAAAATATGGTTTGGTTTTTTAAAAAACTGTGATTGATTTCAAATGGCACTTAAAACATCCACACTATTTTCAGAAAATGTTTAAACTTATTGATTAAATCACGCTCAGTTCTGAGAGTTTTCTTGCTTTTAGACCGGTCGACTATTCTTAGGTGAAACTGCTGTTTAAATGTCAGTGAAATTAGTCATTAGGAGTATCCCTAATGTACATGTATCTTGGATAGCCATGCAACAAAATGCCAATATTACTTACAATTAAGCAAGAGATAAGACATGATAAGATGAAACGAAAGAAATGATTGTGCAACAGATGCTGTTTAAAGTCAAAGATTGCAAATATATAGAGTGCATCAATCAGGTGCAAAAACTAACATACACAGTGCCAGAAACGTAATCAGGTTCAAAGTAAATGTCATAAATATAAACAGGTTAACAATAAGCATAATAGCTCAAGACTGTTGATGTGTAGAGATTTAAAAAGTGGGACTGATAGGGTTAAAAGTCCCAGGCAGATTCCACGAGTTACTTTATGATAAAATGTTGTCATTAAATTTTCATGTGCACCTACTTTTCCTTACCCTGCCTCATTTACATACACTTATGTCAGCAGTTTCCTACATTTCCCACAGCCAATTTCAACTGCTCCCAGAGTAGGGATGCAAATTTAATGCAACCCTAATCTAATCCCTGTGTATTTATTTAAAGAAGTACAAATTAGCATGTAACTATGTCCTTTAAAATGCACGTTTCTAAAAAAAAAAAAAAAAAAAAAAAAAAGGGTTATGTTTTATGCAGTGGATTTGTGTTTATCAGGCATTACCTGGACCTGGCCTTGTACCAGCCTGTGAGTTTTCGAGTATCCTCTCCGTTTTGGATGCAAATGCAGCAGTGGGCATGGGATGCTTAGTCGAGCTGTTAACATCCGTGATGTTATAGTGCGCAGGGCCTGGTAAGGGAGGGTCCTTAGGAACAATCAGGGGGGGTGCTGCTATTGCCAAATAATAGCCTCTCCTTGAAACACAGAATTCACATTTTTAGACTATTGAAAAGAAATAACCAAGGGACACACCCCCAAAGAGATAAATATTTAAGCAATATCACACGAGAGGGAGTGATGTTATACTCGTATATCGTCACGGCTGTGATTTGGTCATAGGCACGAGGCCGCAGGCCTCGCAGCAATGACGTAGGTACATCGTAGGTACGCCGCAGGACCATAAATCAGGCTTAATGTGTGTTTACTCACGGCAGGATGGTCCTCCTCACCGGTGCAGGGGTCTGATGGGGATTATAGGCTCCTGGGCAGGGCGCACGATTGTCCACTGAAAAAGGCCTTCTCCGGGTTTTTGATTTGAAGGGGGACAAGACTGCCTTGGAGCTGTGCTGGATTAAGTGGTCATTCACCTCATAGTGGCCTTCAACAAATATATAAAAACTTAGATAAGTAAAATTAAGAATAAAAGATGACAAAAAATGTGTTAGAAATGAGAAAAAGAGGTAGTTACACGGTGATGGCCCATTTTTGTTTGGGTAAATAGAGTCACGTCCAGTTTCTGACAGGAAAGCTGCTGTACCAGCCACTGAGGAGAAGCTCTTTTTACTGCCACAGCTGACCTGTCCACACAGAGGAAACAAAAAAAAGCTGCACATTAACTAAAGGACGCACAACACAGTCTTGAAAAGCAACTTGCATACTTCACATACATACATACATCATACTGATTCGGGGCTGGTGTTTTGTGCTTCGGCTCATCCAACTGCACACCCACAGGCAACCTGAACACCCTGGAGACTCCAGTGTTGAAGTCACTGTCGTTTATTAAGGAGCTCTGCAGGTTGTATGCATTTGGTCCAGGGGTGCCTCTCAGTGGGTTAAGGGAAGCCCTGGTAGCCTGTTGAAAACGATGATATGACGAAAAATGCTCATGCTCATGTTGATGAAATATTTGGTATATTTACAGGCAGAAACAGCAGACTCTAAACTTAAATTCAGGGCCATAGCTATCACTGTTATCATGTTATTTGTATTTTGTGAGGAAATTTGAGGGATTTAGCAACCATGGCACACAGTTTAGACTTCCATGATGGTAAATAAGATTTACAGAAATTTATGTTAAAGGTCCATTGTGAAGGATTTAGGGGGATATGTTGGCAGAAATTGAATATAATATAATAAGTATGTTTTCTTTAAACTATAATCACCTGAAAGAAGAGTCATTGTGTTTTCATTACCGTAGATTGAGCTGTCTATATCTACATAGGGAGCGAGTTCTTGTATACAGAGTCTGCCATGTTGCACCACCATGTTTCTACAGCAGCCCAAAACAGACAAACCAAACACTGGCTCTAGATAGGGCAATGCGTGTTAGAATCCCCCCCTGCGGCATGCAGCGTCAGAAAAACACTTTTTTTTTTATGTGAAACTGATTTATATAATGCACCTTACACAGACATTTTTCTACATATCTGCTGTAGTAGGAATTGGACAAAATTTAAAAAACAAAAAACAAAAAAAACATTAACATCCTCCTAGAAAGATTTGCCACCATTGGTATCACTAGCACTGCTCTAAACTGGTTTAAGTCATATCTCTCTGGCTGCACTCATTTTGTTCAAATCAGAAATTTCAGATCCAACTCTTGTCCAGTTACTAGTGGTGTTCCTTAGGGCTCTGTCCTAGGTCCCCTTTTATTTATTATTTACCTTCTACCTCTTGGCCATATCTTCTGAAAATTTGGTATTCACTTCCACTTATGCTGATGACACCCAGCTCCAGAGACGGCTGGTATAAATGGGCTAGCAGGGCTAAGCCCTGCCTATCTTTTAATAATGATAAAATAAATATTAGTTATTGAACCTTAGAACTGATTGTTTCTGGTGGAAGCTATAGCAGCAACAGCACTAAAATAGTCACAAAAACGCAGGATTTATCTAAATGGGCTGATTTTTTTACAGCCCATACTCCTAGAATCAGCTTCCAATCATTGTTGTCACATTGTGAGTGACAGGTGTCGTGACAAGCCCCCTTGATTTACTGTCCAGTTGGTCTAAATTAATTCAGCCCAGGCCACTGACTTTTGGCCAATGACAGTGCGTGGAAGTACAGTGAGGGCCTGCCCGCTGTTATTGTAGTGGGAGAGTGAGCGTTGAGTCTTGCGAATTGCGTTACTGTGTCTTTTAAGGTGTCCTTGAGTGTCCTAAAGGCGCCTATAAATAAAATGCATTATTATTATCATTATTATTATTAAAATTACACAAATAAACAGGAGGGAAGTCACAAATGCCACAAACTGACAGGAAGCAATCCACAAATGTGCAAAACCCATTTCATGTGTAAATATGGATCAACAAATGCATAAATATGACTTCATGTGTATTTGCTGTGGTGAAACTGTTTAAATTTGTAAAACCTGTACATTTTTTATGTGAAATTAAGGTACGCGTTTACAGAGTAAGTTATGTGCATTTGCAAATCAATCTGTATTTTTGTAGATATGACTTTACACAACACATATATAAAAAGACATGTTTGTGGATAGTAAAATATTTGAAGATCTTGGTACACATTCATAGACTGAAGACAACAAGTGGCGCATACTCTGAATCCATTTGCATTTAATTTATTTTGATGACATTTCGGCCTTTGGGCCTTATTTCACATATTTATAGATTGTCTTGTGTGGGTTACAAATAATACCGTCCAATAAAAACTTGGGGGACCTGACCTTGGATGGAACAAAGCCTGTCGTGCCTTTCTTTGAGAAGGAAGGACTTTGGACTTCAGCACTGGAGATGCGACCATAGCTGCCTGGTCCAGGATTTTCATTCTGAAACATAACACATCATTATCATGTTTATAATGCATTGTTTTTAGCTGATACTTTACAATGATGTTTGGATTGTGCCTACCAGACAAACTTGTGAAGGGAATCTCCTGGCTTGAGATAAAAACCCTTTCTTTTCTTCATTTGGTATGACTACTGTTTGGTATTTTGTTGGTATTGAAGATGAAACGGTGTAAGCCGGAATCTTACCTGTTTCAAAATTAAAACAATAATTATTATATTTAATTGCTAAAAATGAAAAAATTAAAGTGTTCACTTAGACTCACTTTCATTAAATCCTCGGTACATGTTGCCCGTGGTTCAGCTGGTTAACACGGTGAAAGTCAGTAAATCTGAAGCCATATTCGTGTTGCCATGGCGACGTAAAAATAGAGTGCAGGTCAAAGCGGCGTCCTGCCGTGGTGTTATATCGCCATCTCTCGGTGACACGCGCGTCCACCAGGCGCTTTATACCAACCAGCCTCTGTTTTGTTTCTAGAATAGCTCGATCCATCATGGCGATGCATGCAAAGGCGACTCCACCACAGATCCCGGACACCCGCCGGGAGCTAGCTGAACTGGTGAAGAGGAAACAAGAACTAGCGGTGAGCTAACGCTATCGTAATTTCATCAAAGATGAAAGCGACATTAAGAAGTGCACTGTTTAACCATTTAGAAGTTCAGCTGTAGCAGCTTTAATATCAGCGTTTGCTACCCGAGGCCTCGCTAAAAGCTAGGCTAATTATAGCAGTTGCTAACGTTAGCTGTCTGTTCGCTTCAGCACAGTTCACTCCAACAGTGCTAATAGCTTCAGCTAACTTGGCTAGCTAGCTACCGTAAAGACAATATAACCTTTTTAGCTATCTAGCGTTTATTGTAATAGCACAGTTTAATTGCAACACCTAAGCGTTTGAATTAACTTTAATTGTTTATGTCAGCTTTACGTTTTGTAGCCCTCATAGGCATTGCTGCGATGAATATGCTAGCTGGCTAGCATAGCTACAATTCAGCCGCCGCCCGGTTTCAAAGTTCTCGCGTTATCTCGTTCTTCTTCTTTGGATTGTAACGGCAGCTTCTATCCTTAATGTTGCACTACTGCCACCTTTTGGAGTTGTCAGATTTTCATCATCAGTACTGTTCTCATTTGGGAAACTAAAAAAATCATCTTATGCCTTGTCAACTTTCACCACAGTACTTCAGTATGTTCTTTATACCTGCTCCTGTTAGCCCTAATGTTTTCATTTCTTCCAGTTCTCTCTGATAAATTTATGTTCCACAGTTTCTTGTACCTGGGAATGATTACAAAACCCCTCATGTTATGTTTGATTCATGGACATTTTATGTACTATATTCAGCATTACAAGAAAAAACTGGCGACACAAGTCGTGTAGAAACAAAATACTGATGCAAATAAAGGAATTGTGTAATTAGACTTTTCTCTCCTTCTTGCCTGGCATCTCCGTCCTGCTTTCAGCCAAGGTTACTCATTTATCTCTGCATCCCTGATATGAAAATCGCCTCATAATTAAAACTGTGACAAACGTGTGTACACATCTGTTTATCTGTGCGCAGTGCAAACTGCTTATTCACAATTAATTCAAGTTTAATCTGATTTCTGCGATATCTTAGGAGACACTGGTGAACTTGGAGAGACAAATATATGCATTTGAAGGCAGCTACCTAGAAGACACCCAGATGTATGGCAACATCATCAGAGGATGGGACCGATATCTCACTAACCAGAAGTAAGTGTCAGGTTACTCTCATACTGTTAAAGCTTTTTTCAGTGTATGGAAGAGAATAAAGTAAAATGAAACTACAGGATTTTACAACTATCATAAGAGCCACAGTCAGTTTTAAAATGAATAAGTACGGGGCATGCGTCAACCCCTTTAATGGCTGAGCCGGCAATCAGACTTACTTTTCTATTAAGCTTTGTTATAAGATGAAAACTTAAGGATATGGTTCTACACTGTCAAAGTGTAATCAACAGGTGCATGGTGAAAACTTTGTGTTACTTAACCATTTTGCTGTTATTCTGACAGGAACTCCAATAGTAAGACAGATAGAAGGAATAGGAAATTCAAGGAAGCAGAGCGTTTATTCAGCAAGTCATCTGTCACATCAGTTGCAGTAAGTCTGTCTCTCACTGGACATTTTTCACACAATATATGAGTTTCTCATTTGCTGCATGAAAAGAAAAGAATTACTAATACAGTGGCACTCTCTGCTTCGGTTTACAGGCAGTATGTGCACTCGGCGGGATACCGGATCACATGAATGAAAAACGTGAGTTGTTTTTGGAATTTTCTCAAGCCAGTCAATGTTGGAAAAGTTTCTTCTTCTAGCACTTTCGTAATCTCGGTTTATGCTACCATTTGGATCCTGTCAGGTGAGGCAGGCAGCGGCACAGAAAGCGACGCCTCTCCAGATCTCCAGAATCAAGAGAACGAGCCAAGCCAGGAGGACACGGAAGATGTGGACACGACGCTTCAGGACCTAAAGCCTCAGAAAGCTGCTTCCTCGTCCTCCTCAGGCAGCCATCACGGGAGCCACAAGAAGAGGAAGAACAAAAACAGACACAGGTAAACAATGAAAATACAACACACAGTGTGTCAGCATTTTGTTTAATCTCTGATTCTTTATCCTTCTGATCATGCTGGTAATTGGTAATTCTTGATTACAGAGTTTGTTGATAGCTGATCAGTATGTGTACATGCACACAAGAAACCAGGTTATTGGGAGAAAGTGGGTTATGTTGGAAGTCGGACTACATATTTACATTCACTGTAGTAAGACCTGGTTTCGGTAAAATCCATGTCTAGATGTAGCAGGTCAGCTAAGATTCTCTCCTCTACTGTGATCCTATTTTGGTACCATGGTTCAGTCATTTTTAAACGTCTTAGTGGTACAAAATGCTTCTTTATGATTCAAATTCAGACACTCCTTCACAGCAGTCTGAATGTTAACAAAGAAAGAAATCAGAGCATAACATGGTTACTGAAAGGCAGTGGTTCCCAGCATCTGGCTTGTAACTCACTATATTCAAATGATGTGTACTTGTGTGAGCCCTCATCAGTGCTTATGGCCTTAGTCTAAACAATCATGTGCAGTTAAACCAAGTTGTTTCATTTGAAGGATTATTAGAAACCTCAAGAGGTCAAAGTTTTAGATATTTTTACAAGAAAAAGCACAAAGTTAGGAAAAATAAACACAATTTTGTCCAAGAGAAGTACACCACCGTGGCTTGGCTGTAAGATTACAAGACAGAATAAGACTTGGAAAACACAAAATGCTTTCATACTAGTCCTGTTGGAAAGGTTTGTCAGAGACACTGTTAGCCCAAGTAATTTCCTGAAAAGTGTATATTATTTTTGAGCCACTGTCGTATGTTTTTCTTTGCTCCTATCTTTTAATTATTTTGGTATCTGACACGTAATAAAACACACACTAAAGAGCATGTTAACACACTGATTATTTATTGGTAAGTCTAGTTTTGTTATTATGAGAGCCAGTGTCATTGGACTGAGTTAATAAACTGTTCACAAGTTACTTATTAGTAAAAGGAAAACTTTGGTATTTTTCAGCCTGGACCCTTTTTCCCATGTTTTGTCTCTAAGTGACTATTTGAGACAACAATTTTTGAAATTGGTCCAGCATTGAGAGACAACGTTGCGGCTGTGGCATAGAACAGGCTGCAGAGTAATCCCTACAGGCAATTGTGCACTGTCAATGTCCGTCCTCTAGAAGTGCTTGTTTTTGTCACTGACAGGCTCAGATTGTTAGTAAAATGTCTGCTAAAGTTATGGAAAAGACCCTACAGAGAAATGAAATGTGCTTTTCCTTACCTTTCACTGATCCCGTCTCTTTCTTTGTGTGTGCAACCAAGTCTCGTTCAAGGAGAAGTGTCATTCTGAAATCTTGCAGACTTTTCCATATTGTCAAAATCAGCTAAATATTCAGCCATGACACTGAAAATCTTTTAGATAACACAAAGCTACGCTATCTTTACTCCAACACAACAAACGCTTCCCAGCACTCCTCTCTCCACCTCTCACTGACGTTTCCACTGCTGTCTTCCTGTAACAAATCACATCTCCCAAGATTTCAGAACGGGACTTTCTCTCAATAGTGGACCAATTTCAAAAATACTTGTCTCCATTAGTCATGTAGATTCAAAAACGTGAAAATAGGGTCCAGGTTGAAAAATAGCTAAACTTCCCTTTAAGTGGAATTACACAGTTTACCATTGAAATGATTAACATGGTATATTAACATAGCAGGTGCTCCACCTAACACACTGTGACGGAGTGTGTCTGGATTGCAGTATTACATAGACGTAGGGCTTTAGACTCAGGTTGGTGAACTAACAGCTGCTGCTCTCTTCCTTCCCCTAATGCTGCCCCCCCAGTCCTTCTGCCATGTTTGATTATGACTTTGAGTAAGTCTGATTTTTACTTCCTGCTCCTGTGATCTTCACTTCCTTCCTGCTGTTAAACCCCATCCTCAACTTTTCCACCGTTTCCCCCGCTCTCTGTCTGCTTCTCTTGACCGACAGTAGAGTTTAAGCCTGCTAGTTATTCAGTCATACTGCATGTCCAACAGTTCATTCTATAATTTTGAATGCATTTCAGCATCCAGCACTCTGATCTCCATTAGATTTTCTTGCTTGTTACTGGGGTATTTTCACATCTTTCTGACCCCAGGTTCATTTCAAGTGTGCTTCCCCAACTCCAGTAATGACATAAAACATTGCTGGGGTTGTCAGATGCTGGGCTGGCTACAGATTTCCTGCACAAACAAGAACAAACACATGGTCATTTAGTGTTCTTGTTATGGGCTTGTTTTAAGGCTTCTTCATGATACAGTAGTTGTACCGCTTGTCACCATAATTCCCATCAAAACCAGGTTTATGAACTATCAATATCTAACACAACCTTCTCTTTGTTTTTGTTGCAGATTTGACATGAAGGTTAACAAGAAACCCAGAGCTGTAAGTTGTTTTGCTTTGTTTATCTAATAATACTGTTACAGATATTTTCATTAGCAACTAAACTGGCCATTATTTTCTTGATTAAGTGTTTTGTCTTAAAAAATATCAGAAAACAGTAATTTATTTTTTTTTATTTTTTTTGTCCGACCAACAGTCCAGTCATGTATGACATTAATAAAGCTTCAAATCCTCACATCAGTGTTTAGCATTTTTGCTAAAAAATGACTGAAAGGATTATTTATATATCAAAATAGTTGCTGATAAATATTCTGGTGATTGACTTGCCTCGCTGTTGTGTATCAAAGGTACAATGCAGACCATATGCATGTAGCCTACGCACGTCGCCTACGCCGTTGGGAGCATTTATACTTGTGCAGAGGTGTGTCTGTCACTCTGTAGTTACACCTTCAAAACGTTATTCAGTGGCGGA